CGGGGGGGGGTTGCTCTCCAGGCCTTCCTTCTGTAGCCATGCATACGCAGAGGTTTTGGCTGTGGGCGTGGCCAACTCGGAAGCCAGCCGGAACTCCGTTCCTGTGCGTTCCTGCCCAAAAATAGCCCTGTGTTTAATGTTATCTCCTTATGATTTGCTGTGGAGCAGTCTTTTATGAGACGCTGGTAGGAGGGAGGCCATCCCCTTTCCATTTTTTCCCTCTTCCTCCTTCTTCTGAGAAACGTTTTTATGTACAGGCACATGGAGGAGTGAGGAAAGGAATTCTAGTCTTGCTTGAGAGAATCATAAAATGATGGAAGGGACCTTGAAGGTCATCTAGTCCAACCCCCCCCCCGCACTCTGCAGGAGCACAGCCGGAAGAGAGCCCTACAACACACCCGGAAGATGGCCGTCCAGCCTCCGCTTGAAAACGTATTGGAGTTGAGAAATGAGACTCTGCACTCTGCAGGAGCATAGCAGAAAGATAGCCCCACCACATACCCTGAAGATGGTCGTCCAGCCTCCACTTGAAAACATCCAGCAAGGGAGCATCCACCCCCTCCCGAGCCAGTCTGTCCCACTGCTCAACCACTCTGACAGGAAGTTTCTCCCGATATTTAGCTGGTAACGACTCCCTTGTAATTTCCACCCATTAGATCTAGTCTTGCAATCCGGAGCAAGAGAGGATAGATCTGCTCCATCTTGAAGACTGCAATCGTGTCCCCTCTAAGCCTTCTCTTTCCCAGGCTAAACATACCCAACTCTTTCAGCCTTTCCTCGTAAGACTAATATTTAGCTGGTATCAACTTCCTTGTAATTTCCACCCATTAGATCTAGTCCTGCAGTCCGGAGCAAGAGAGAATAGATCTGCTCCATCTTCTAAATACTTGAAGACTGCAATCGTGTCCCCTCTAAGCCTTCTCTTTCCCAGGCTAAACAGTCCCAACTCTTTCAGCCTTTCCTCGTAAGACTTGGATTCCAACCCTCTCACCATCCTGGCTGCCCTCTTCTGGACACGCTCTAGCTTGTCAGCATCCTTCCTAAAATGTGGTGCCCAAAACTGGACACAGGGCTCCAGGTGAGGCCTGACCATAGCAGAATAGAGCGGAATGACCACCTCCCGTGATCTGGACACAATGCTTCCCTTAATGCATCCTTAGATTGCATTAGCTTCCTTTCCACTTGGGTGTTTCCACTTGGGAAAGCGTGAAGGAGGGAGAGCTAGACAGCCTTTTATATTGTCAGGGGCATCGCCTGAGCAAAACGAGGGCATGGTTAGGGAAAAGAACGTGGGACTGAGGACTAAGCAAAATTCCCAGCTCCCAGAGGGAGAAGGGGGCGTGGCTTGAGCCGGGTGGGTAGCTATGGCAAGGGGAATCTTTTTCTTGGCAGCTGCCGGCGCCTGGCACGCCTTGGTGGGATGACGGAAAGGCTGAAAGAGTTGGGTATGTTTAGCCTGGGAAAGAGAAGGCTTAGAGGGGACGTGATTGCAGTCTTCAAATATCTGAAGGGCTGTCACGTAGAAGATGGAGCAGATCTATTCCCTCTTGCTCCGGACTGCAAGACTAGATCTAATGGGTGGAAATTACACGGGAGTCGTTACCAGCTAAATATCAGGAGAAACTTCCTAACTGTCAGAGTGGTTGAGCAGTGGAACAGTCTGCCTCGGGTGGTGGTGGTTGCTCCTTTGCTGGATGTTTTCAAGCAGAGGCTGGACGGCCATCTTTTGGGTATGTTGTAGGGCTGTCTTTCGGCTAGGCTCCTGCGGAGTGCCGGGGGTTGGACTAGATGACCTGCAAGGTACCTTCCAACTCTTAACATTCTAGGATTCTGTGACTGGAAGGGCTGATGCAAGAAAGGAAAGTCGAGCTGGAAAGGTGAAGGGAGGAGAGAGTGGGTGTGAAGGAGGGGATGGAGGCCTAGAGTAAGGCTGCACTAGTTTCTAGCCCAGAACAATTTTTACTATTTTTTTTAAACTACTCCGTGCATACCAAATTGCTGGCTCTCCCGGTTGCAGTGTTGATTCACGACTGGTGATTCGGAAAGCAGACCCCAAGCATCATTACTCTGAGCCCAGATCACACTTGTGATAATGGCCCCTGCAAATACATGATCCGATCAAATATGTACAGTTTCATGTATCTGATCCTTTTACAGGTCTTGCTAAGTAACCCAGGGCAGCAAGGAACTGCTTCTTGTCTTATCTGTACAACAGCTCTGCAAGGTAGGTTCTGCTGAGAGAGTGAGTGATTGGCACATGGCCATGACGTGACTTCTGTGGCAGAGCAGGGAACGGATGAAGTGGAGACTATTTCTAAAATGTCATAGATAGTCCATATCATTGCAGTTTGAGTTGGGTTTCCTAAACCATGTAAAAAAATTCCTCTGCCATTTATTCTCTCCCCAAACGTAGACCATGGCGATAACTATCTGGACAAGCAGAGTTTTCAACAGCCCCTAGGGAAAACCATAGGCGTAATATTTACCTAAGCGAATGTTAATTACACCCATACCATGAAACTCTTCAATTGCCTTTTTCCAACCTCAGGCCTCTAGTAATGGGACAGGATGGTTTTCTTCAGGCTGACTGACATTTCTACAAAACTTCATCTTTGCCCTTCAGTCTGGTTCTCCCAGATTAGAGTCCACGCACTTAACCACTACACCAAACTGGCTGGAGTACATCTTCACCCAAAGAGTGATTAGCACATGAAATTCACTGCCACAGGAAGTGGTGGCAGCTACAAGCATGGACGGCTTCAAGAGGGAACTAGAGAAGCATATGGAGCAGAGGTCCATCTGTGGCCAGAGCCAGTTTGGTGTAGTGGTTAAGTGCTGCTGTGACACCATCTTTCTCTATGCTTGTTTGAAAGTTGTTTGGAGAAGATTTATTTAAAGCGATGTGGGGGCGCAATGAGAGTGGAGCCGCCACAAGAGGGCGATAAACATATACAGACAGGCAAAAGTATGCTAGCACTGTTGAGGTGTGAAAACGAAAGCAAATGTAGACAGCTTTTTTGAAGACATAGACGGCTGGGACACGGTGGGAAAGACAAGGGCAGATTCGACCAAGCACCCAATCCCAAGCACCAAGAATACAGAGCATCCCTTGCCCCAGACTGAGAGTTCCTATCCATACCTTGTGGCTAATAGCCACTGATGGACCTCTGCTCCATATGCTTATCTAATTCCCTCTTGAAGCCGTCCATGTTTGTGGTGCCACCACCTCCTGTGGCAGTGAATTCCACGTGTGAATCACTCTTTGGGTGAAGGGGGAAAAAAAGGACTTCCTTTTATTGTTCCAACCTGGCTGCTTAGCAATTTCATGGAGTGTCCACCAATGTTCTCTCTAAGCTGAGTTAGTGTGAGATAGCTCAGCTCACAGTTTTTTAGACTCCGGCTCACACATTGTTGCCTTAGCTCAGGAAGGACGGCTCCAAAGCAAACTAATCTAATGCAGTAGCCTAATCACTCGCCCACAACTTGAATGCCAGTAGCTCACAAAGCAGAATTTTTGCTCATGAAACTCCATGGCTTAGAGGGAGCATTGATGTGCCCGCGAGTTCTTGTCTTGTGAGAAAGGGAGAAAAGTCCTTCTTCCCCTACCTGCTCTGTCCCACGCATCATCTTATAAACCTCGATCCTGTCACCCCCCTCAGCCGTCGTTTCTCCACGTTAAAGCGCTTGGGGCTCCGTGAGGAGCAATGTTCCCTCTAAGCTGTGGAGTCTTGTGAACAAAAATTCTACTTTGTGAGCTGCTGGCATTAAAGTTGCGAGCAAGCGATTTGGCCACTGCATGAATTGGTTTGCTCTGGAGCCCTAGGGTTGCCAGGTCTGGGTTGGAAAACACCTGAAGACTTTGGGGGCGGAGCCAGGAGGGGGCAGGGTTTGGGGAGGGGAGCAGCCTCAGCATAGTACAGTGCCATAGAGTCCACCATTCAGAGGGGCCATTTTCTCCAGGGGAACTGGTCTTTGTCAGCTGGAGAACAGTTGTAAAAGCGGGAGATCTCCAGGCCCCACCTGGAGGCTGGCAACCCTATGGAGCCCTCCTTCCTGAGCTGAGACAAAAATATGTGAGCTGGAGGCTAAAAAAACTGTGAGCTAGCTCACACTAACAGCTTAGAGGGAACACTGGTGAGGAGTGACGGGATCGAGGTTTATCACTAAGGGAGCCTGGTTCCCTAGCCCTTCACCGAGAGAGGGCGGATGTCCGCCTTCAGTCCCCTTCAAAGCCATACGACATCGGAGCCCATCTTTGTTACGGGCAAACGACGGCTGTTTCCGTGGGAGACCGGCACTTCCTCTTCCTGGTTTCTTTTTTTCCGCGAGGCGTCGGCGCTCTTCGATAGGTCGAGAGGGTGTCAGCTGACCAATGGGGTCTGTTGTCTAACATGGCTGCCCGGCACGGGGAGCCGTGCTCAGGCAGCCGGGGAAAGAAAGGGACGGCGGCCGTTCTCTGGTCCCTGGGCGCCGTCTGGGTGGCGGCTCTCACGGCACGGAGCGTGGAGGGAGGCGACCCGCCGTTGCTGAAGTGTGAGGATCTTCGAGTCGGCCAATATCCTGAAGCTGCGAGGATGCAAAAGCCCCTGGATACTATGGGGATGACAGGCTTTGCAACGGAGACAAGGGGTGTCTGTAGCAGTGTTCCCTCTAAGCTGAGTTAGTGTGAGCTAGCTCACAGTTTTTTTGCCTCCGGCTCGCACATTTCTGTCTCAGCTCAGGAAGGAGGGCTCCAGAGCCAACTCATTTATGCAGCAGCCAAATCGCTCGCTCACAACTTTAATGCCGGCAGCTCACGAAGTAGAATTTTTGCTCACAAGGCTCCACGGCTTAGAGGGAACATTTTTTGGGGAGGGGAAAAGGCGTTTGTAAGCCGATCTGAGACTCCTTTTGGGTAGTGAAGGGCGGGGTATGAATCCAATCTGAGGGGGTGACGCGATCGAGGTTTATAAGATGATGCCTGGGATGGAGCAGGTGGAGGAAGAAGTCCTTTCCTCCCTTTCTCACAATGCAAGAACTCCTGGGCACTCCATGAAATTGCCGAGCAGTCGGGTTGGAAGGGATAAAAGGAAGGACTTCTGCACCCAAAGAGTGATTCACAAAGAGTGATTCACTTCCCCAGGAGGTAGTGGCGGCTACAAGCACGGACGGCTTCAAGAGGGAATTAGATAAGCACAGGGGTCTTGTTGTAGAAAAAGAGCTGCCGGAGCTCATTAGCATAACTCATTAGCATAACTTATTTGCATATGCCACGCCCCCTGACATCACCGGAAGTGACAGAAGGCCACACCCCCTGACATCACCGGAAGTGTGTCAGAAGGCCCGGCTACTTACCCTCCTGCTTCATCCTCATTCCCAAACGGAATGAGGATCGAAGCAGAGGGCGGGGTAAAGAAGGGGGCGGGGCTTCACCACGTGACCGCCCCGCCCCCTAGAGGTTCTCTTCCGGAGCTCCGTACCTGAGAGCTCCCCCCCGACTAGAGCCCTGGATAAGCATATGGAGCAGAGGTCCATCAGTGGCTATTAGCCACAAGGTATAGATAGGGGCTCTCAGTCTGGGGCAAGTGATGCTCTGTCATCTTGGTGCTTGGGGGGGGGCAACCGTGGGAGGGCTTCTGGAGTTCTGGCCCCACTGTTGGACCTCCTGATGGCACCTGGTATTTTTGGCCTGCTGGATGACCTTGGGCAAGCCATAGTTCTGGCACAGCTGTTCTTGACAAAGAGCAGTTTCTGTCAAGAGCTCTCTCAGCCCCACCTAACTCACAGGGTGTCTGTTGTGGGGAGGGGAAGGGAAAGGAGATTGTAAGCCGCTCTGTGACTCTTTTGGGTAGTGAAGGGCGGGGTATAAATCCAATTTCTTCTTCTCCTCCTCCTCCTTCTCGACATCATTGGCTACCACCACAGTAGTGTCCTGATATCCTGTCATGTGTTCTGTCTATTGAGCTGTAATGAGGAAAAGGGGACAAAAATAGCAGCAGTTAAGTTTCTTTGGTCATCTAGCCAAGCCCTTAGATGTAATGTTTGTTCCAGTGGTATGGACAGCTGCAAGTTTTGTGTGTTGAGAAGGAAAAAGGCTATTGGTCAATGTAAAATTTCTGGTTGCTGAAAAACTTACTGTGATGCTAGTGCTGGGCACTTGTTCAGGAATTTGTTTACATTTGTTTCCCTTAATTATTCAAACATATATTTGTGATGATCCTAAAATAGACAATGACACTCAGGAAGCCGAGAACTGTAGAAATCATACTGCATACGGTAAGGACGATGGGGATCGGATGCTTTTTGAACTGCATGTTGTCTGATGAAACTGTGGTAAGAGTATACACTCCTGATAAATGGATTATATTCTTTTATGAAATGATGGATTATGAGGCCCTTCAGGAATTAATACCGGGGGGTGGCCAGTGTGTGTATGGTATTGTTCACTTTCCATGATAGGATGTGCATACCTTTTGTTGTTATAGAACAAATTTTGAGTCAAGTGGCTCTATTAAGGCCAACAAAGGTTTATTTAAGGTATGAGCATTCGTGTGCAGGCACGCTTTTTCAGATACATTGGAATGGCAGGTAACAGTTCAAACGTATAGACAGGTTGAACAGCAGATTAACATGTAACATGACGAAGATGTTTTTAAGATATGCAAAGACAAAACTAAATAACAAGCTAAGGCTATAAGGCCAACAGTTGTTTTCTTGCACACAGACAGCCCCCTAGTTACCTTCCATTCCAGTATATTCGAAAAAGTGTTCCTTGCACACGAAAGCTCATACCTTGAAACCCTTTGTTGGTCCTAAAGGTGCCCCTGGACTCAAAATTTGTTCTCCTGCTACAGACCAACACGGTTGCCCTCCTGGATCGACCTTTTGCTGTAGGCCTTTTTCCAGTGAATCTTGACAGCTTCAGCTGCTCCTCCGATCAACAATTTATTGAGGATTTGCCCCATGTCTAGAGATGTGAAGGCCTGGGAAAAAACCTAGAAAAATTCGGGGGGGGGGAACGTTTCCCCCCTGTTTTTTCCCTGAAGCCTTTTTTGTTTTTTTCCAAAAAAATTGAAAAAAGAAAAGAATTGATTATGGAACGTTTTATTTTAACATGATGAATAAAATATTTTAGGACAAGGTGTTCAAATATTTTCCAAATCGTTTCTAAAAAATATGTATGGTATCAGATTGATCTAATTTCTGTGCACTGAGGACAAGCATTTCTTCCTTTAGGAGGTGCTATTGTCACAAGAAAAGAAGAAGGTTTCAGTTTTGTTTTTGCGTGTGTGGTGGGTATTCCGTTTGTAATAACTGTTTGGATACACTATATTTTTAATATGCTAGTTGTGATAATTTCATGCCAAGTAAAAATGTCCATAGTCATATTTTATGTTCCTAAAGTAACAGAATGACTTTCAATCTCGGGGAGAAAAAGAGAAGTACTAATGTGGCATTTTTTTCAATTTTTCCAAAAATTTCCATTTTTTCCCCTTAAAAAACCGGAAAAACCAAAATTTCGAGAAATTTTACATCTCTAGTCGGTGCCCATTTCTGCTGAATTTGTTACTAGAATAGCTTTTATGTTTTTTAATGTTTTAATGTTTTATTTTTTCTAAAAATTTCCATTTTCCCGCGGGGAAAAATGTTTCTTTTTCTGAGCTTCAAAAGTTTTGGAAATTTTACATCTCTACCTATGTCACATTCCAGTGTCCAAGATATGAGGCTGATTTTTGTTGAGCATAATATCCCTCTTACCACGACGGTCAGTTTAGGATAAACTAGTCATATTATTGGCGGATATTTAACAATTGTTACTTTTTATGGTGATCTGTAAAACAGTATTTTTCAGCAGACTTAGTTTTTTAATTTAACATTTATTAACATATTCAACCATAACATATCAGCAACAACATAACGTAATTACATTATATAGACATATACATACACCGACTAAAACCTAGATTTGCATTCCATATTTTAGGAACAGACCTAAAGCAAAATAAATTCTAGATATTTTGAAGATATTTTACATTCCACAGAGGGATTGTTGTTTACATAATCTATAAAAGGATACCACTTTTCCACAAAATTATTTTTATAACCTGGGGTCTCCATCAGCAATATTTGTATGGCTATTTTATCCTGAATAACTATATCCCACACTTTCTGGAACCATACTTTAAGTGAGGGTATTTTCCTAGATTTCCATAATTGAGCTAATACTGATTTGCCAGCTTTTAGCAGTTCGAAAGCAAGAAATTGCAAGTAGATCAATAAGGGACCGCTTGGGTGGGAAGGTAACAGCGTTCCGTGCGCCTTGGTGTTTAGTCATGCCGGCCACATGACCACGGAAACGTCTTCGGACAGCGCTGGCTCTTCGGCTTTGAAACGGAGATGAGCACCGCAACCCTAGAGTCGGATTCGACTGGCTTTCGAGCAAGGGACCCTTTACCTTTACCTTTAGCAGGAGAGAAATGAGATCCCTACGCAAAGGAGAAAAGGAGTGGTCAGGCCAAAACGTTAGTAGAATGGATTCAGGAGTTAAAGGAACACCCCCCCCTACTATTTCTGAAACTTTAGAAACAACTAACAAGAGACAGACTCTATACAGCAGACTTAATCTTAACTGTGCTAGAGCCAGCAATAGCCGCTCCTTTGTGCTGAGTGTTTTGAGAATATGCACATTCTTTGTTTCTTCAGTTTTGTGCTGTGGGGTCTTCCTGTGGAGATCAACCCAGGACGTTGTAATGTATTGGTCTCATAACTCTTGTTTTCCCCCCTCAGTTGCCTGTCATCCAGCACCAAATATTACATGCAAGGATTTCAGTGGAAATGAAACTCAGTTTACTGGGAAAGGAATTGGATTCTACAGACCCATCGAATGCAGGAATGTGTACGTGAATAATTGTGCTCAATATGTACTCAGTCTACGGTGTCTCCAATTATATCAGTATGAAATGTTGCCACACTGGCTAGGAGTGTTTAAGTATAAAATATTTTATAGGCTTTAGCTTCCCTTATTTTGAAATGTTCTTCAGTCTTCTTTTTTCTGAGCTCTATCACATAGACAGCTAACTGATAACATGGCCAGTTCAGTGTATTATGAAAAACCATGTTGTCACATTTTGCCGTACATTCCCATGTGTGGTAAAGACTGGGGCCTTCACCAAGTGGAAAGGGGTTCCACATATTTCTTACACTGGATGGTCTTCTGTATTAGGGCTCTTTTGTAGCAGGAACTCCTTTGCATATTAGGCGACACCCCCCCTAATGTAGCCAATCCTCGGCCCCGGTCATACGGGCTGGAAAATGTGGGGGGGAAGTGTGGCTGTTTGCCCCGGAGGAAAATAACGCGCGGTTGCACGATCAGACGTCCCTTCGAGGTCCCGTGGTTAGGGGGCAGGTGCCAATCACACGATGATCCTGCAGCGCGGCAAAGAAGTGGTGCGATCACACCAGCAATTGCAACTTACCTGGCTGCTTCTTGCTCTAACTGAGGGCTGCTAGGAGCAGGGGGTGGGGCTTGTTGCCTGTGCCCGCCCCCTGGGCTCCTTACTGTTGGAGCTCTGCTCCTGTGCGCTCCTGCAGGAAATGACCCCTGGTCTTGTTCAACTTCCTTAGTGCTGCTTGATGAATCTCGTATGCTGTAGGGAGAAAAGGAATACGGAATGAAAAAATAGGTCTAGATCTCTAAACAGGGATTTTTTACATTTCCAACTCATGGACTACCTGTAAAGTGTGACTTGTTGCCTTCTTTAAAATCTGTTGTGCCTGTGGAATGGTTCAGTGTGTATAGGCTGTGGCACTCTGCATTTTGAAAAGTCTGTAAATAGCCTATGTGCTTAAGTATAGAATCACTGAATTGGGTATGAATGTCTGGTGTAGTGAGAGCCAGTTTGGTGTCGTGGGTAAGTGTGTGGACTCTAATCTGGGAGAACTGGGTTTGATTCCCTACTCCTCCACTTGCAGATGCTGGATGACCTTGGGCAAGCCGTAGTTCTGACAAGAGCTGTCCTTGAAAGGGCAGTTCTCGAAAGAGCTCTCTCAGCCCCACCTACCTCGCAGGCAGTGTTCCCTCTAAGCTGAGTTAGTGTGAGCTAGCTCACAGTTTTTTAGCCTCCGGCTCACACATTTTTGTCTTTGCTCAGGAAGGAGGGCTCCAGAGCAAACTGATTTATGCAGCAGCCAAATCGCTCGCTCACAACTTTAATGCCAGTAGCTCACCAAGTAGAATTTTGGCTCACAAGACTCCGTAACTTAGAGGGAACATTGCTCGCAGGGTGTCTGTTGTGGGGAGGGGAAGGGAAAGGAGTTTGTAAGCTGCTCTGAGACGCCGAGTGAAGGGCGGGGTGTAAATCCAATCTCCTCTTCTTCTCTTCTGAATTATTCTCATTGCTAGTGTGGTTTGGCAGCTCCCATTGTTTTCATCCTGTAAAATGGCCATGTGAAGCAAGACTCACTTTCTGTTTGAACTAGAAGGATAATCAAGCCTGAGACTGTTCAAGCCTAAATAGATGTTTCCATGTCCATATTGCATTAATTAATTACAAATAGAGCAGTACTGCCAATATTGATTCTGAAAACATTTGCTCCTTGTATGTATTTCGGGTCATATGTTGTTGGTGTATAGGCATGGCTGAATTTCCATCTGACCAAGCTGTGAAGCAGTTAGGTTCTGAAGTGAATTTTCTTGTTAAGTAAGCGACTGAAAGCCATTGCAAATTAATTTAATGAGGATGGTTTAATAAATAATTTCAACTCTTTTCCCCCCTCTTGTTTTTGTTCCTAGAAATGGTTATTCCTACAAAGTAGCAGTAACTCTGTCTTTATTTCTTGGTTGGTTGGGAGCAGATCGGTTTTATCTAGGATATCCTGCTTTAGGTGAGTATCTCTTTATCTTTAAGTATGGTTACTGGTTGTGATAATGTACAGGGTGTAAGATCTCATCAGATCTCAGAAGCTAAGCAGGGTCAGTCCTGGTTCGTGTTTTGGATGGGAGACCACCAAGGAATACCAAGTCACCATGCAGATGTAGGCAATGGCAAACCACCTCTGGACATCATAGAATCATAGAATGTTAGAGCTGGAAGGGACCTTGAAGGTCATCTAGTCCAACCCCCTGCACTCTGCAGGAGCACAGCCGAAAGACAGCCCTACATACCCACAACATACCCGGAAGATGGTTGTCCAGCCTCCGCTTGAACACGTCCAGCAAAGGAGCATCCGCCACCTCCAGAGGCAGACTGTTCCACTGCTCAACAACTCTGACAGTTAGGACGTTTCTCCTGATATTTATCCGGTAACGACTCCCTTGTTATTTCCACCCCTTAGATCTAGTCTTGCAATCCAGACCAAGAGAGAATAGATCTGCTCCATCTTCTACATGACAGCCCTTCAGATACTTGAAGACTGCAATCATGTCCCCTCTAAGCCTTCTCTTTCCCAGGCTAAACAGACCCGACTCTTTCAGCCTTTCCTCCTAAGACTTGGATTCCAACCCTCTCACCATCCTGGTTGCCCTCTTCTGGACACGCTCGAGCTTGTCAACATCCTTCCTCAAATGTGGTGCCCAAAACTGGACACAGGACTCCAGGTGAGGCCTGACCATAGCAGAATAGAGTGTAACGACCACCCCCCCGTGATCTGGACACAATGCTTCTTCTGTCAATGCACCCTAAGATTGCATTCGCTTTCTTCGCAGCCACATCGCACTGCAGGCTCATGTTTAGCTTGTGATCAACCAGAACACCCAGATCCCTTTCACATGAGCTGATGTCAAGCCACATGTGAAAGGGATCTAGGTGTTCCGGTCTCTTGCCTTGAGAATCCTCCAGGGTCACCCTAAGTCTCCCCCCCCCCCAAAAAAAACCACTCATGAACATGGTAGGATTTACTTCTGAGAAAACATGTGTAATGATCGGGCCTCAAGAATGACAACTGCTTGAATTATACCTTGTAAACTGACCAGGGTCAAGAAGATAAAGGAATAGCTAGCTTTCTGTCTTGGTAGTACATTATAGGCCATTTCAGGACATAGAAAAACCCATTAAAAATCACTGATACGCTCCATTGGCTTCCTGTAATGTCACTTCATCAAGATGGTTTTCAGAACCCCATTGACATACACATTAAAAACTGAGAAGGGTTTTACGAGGAAAGGCTGAAAGAGTTGGGCATATTTAGCCTGGGAAAGAGAAGGCTTAGGGGGGACATGATTACAGTCTCCAAATATCTAAAGGGCTGTCATGTAGAAGATGGAGCAGATCTATTCTCTCTTGCTCCGGATTGCCAGACTAGATCGAATGGGTGGGAATTACAAGGGAGTCGTTACCGGCTAAATATCAGGAGAAACATCCTAACTGTAAGAGTGGTTGAGCAGTGGAACAGTCTGCCTCCGGAGATGGTGGTGGATGCTCCCTCACTGGACGTTTTTGAGCGGAGGCTGGACGACCATCTTTCAGGTATGTTGTAGGGCTATCTTTCGGCTATGCTCCTGCAGAGTGCAAGGGGTTGGACTAGATGACCTGCAAGGTCCCTTCCAACTCTAACATTGTATGATTCTATGATCTCGCAGGAGCATCATTTTACGGGATGCTTTAGGGCTGCCAAGGGAGGGCGGAATTGAAAATATCAACCCCCACCTCCTTGCACTTGTGTAAAACTAGGCAGGATCCAGCCTATAATATTAGAAAGAGGAGATGTCTATATGTGCTGAAACTAGCATTCTGAAGCTTTATGTGCAACTGTTTAATAGAATAATTGTAATTTTTTTCCTCAGGTTTGTTGAAGTTCTGCACAGTGGGGTTTTGTGGAATTGGTAGCTTGATTGATTTCATTCTGATTTCAATGCAGGTAAGTTCACTGTATGAGAATTTTTAAAAATAGCAGCCTAGACACACATGCAAGACTTGAGCGAAGCCAGTAGAATTTTGGATGTTGGAAAAGCAGGCTCTCATTCGAAAAATGGCTGTCAAAACTCCCTTCATTTTCTGAAGTGGTTTGCTCTAATGTATGGTAGACCATTGCTTGTTTTGAGTTTGTTTCTTGGTTTCCAAAATAAAATAATGGTTTACTGTTCTTTGGATACTGGCCTGTTTTTCTGTCATCATTTTATTTGTTTTTGAACTTGGTTAAATAAGAAAAAAAATAATATTCATTTATGACTAAATGTATCCCTTACCCTTCCCATTTTCCCATACACGTGTTACAGTGAAGAAATAAAGTTGAAAGGGGAAGAAGTAAAAGATTATGGTGAAATTAAGAGTTAAAGCTGCCCAGAATTGCATGCAAATATTGTCAAATATTTATAGTTTCAACCAGGGCTCTTTTTGTAGAAAAAGCTCAGCCGGAACTCATTAGCATAATAGGCCCCACCAAACAGCAGAAACTCATTAGCATATTGGCCCACACCCCTGACATCACAGCTTATTAGCATATTAGGCCACACCCCATGCCTTCTTTTGGCTTGCCTGGGCAAGCCCCCCCTTGTCTGTAAATAGTTTAAACTGTCTTCCCTTGAACAGAAATGAATTCCTTAGGTTTTAGAGATGAACTTTAAACACCTGCCAAGGAATAGATTATACAAATTTTGAATGCTAATTAACCTTTTTAAATGTGTAAGTTGTACTGCAGAGATCAGCTTTTTAGGTAGGGCAGCTTTATGTCAAATGAAACTATGTTGAAGAAAAGTGTTTTTGAACAGTAGGGTGTTTTCCAGATCTTGGCATTTTGTTTTTACTTGTATTGGCTTTTAGTTATTTACTTCTATTTGTCTAAGAGCTGGTTTGTACATAAAGCTTCAGTGAATTTCCTTACACAATGTCCTTGGAATTTTCCCACATCTCTACACAGAAGAAGCTGAATGTGGAGTTGGAAGTGCATTGATAACTGACAATAGACAATGGCCTTGATTCCCACTATTATTATTACCACGTTATGGCAGTTTCAGAGGAGGCTGTTGGAGCTGACTCAGGAAAGTGGATACATATGTACTTTGCTTGACATACTGCCGTGGAAGCCCAACTTGTAGAAGATTGGTGGCCTTATCAAATCAGTTTAGACGTAACGTTTCCTGAACCTTCACATCTTGCAACCGATAGTTTTCCTGGAAAGCAGAGCCATCAGCCAGAGTCCAATTGGAATGGCAGTTTTCGTTCCAAGCTAAACCGTTCTTTTTCTGAGTCACATGTAAAAGGTAAATGACGATTTGTCAAGAAATGGGAAATGGAGAGCAAAATTCAAGAGCCAGAGACTGGAACGTGCAGGCCTGCAGTTCAGGCACAGTTAGACAAACTATGATTTGGATGTTATCTGTGAATAGACTCGATATGTGTGAATCAGGACAATCAAGTGTAACATACTTATCTACTTATGAGTCACTCCACAAACTCTTAAGAGTAGTTCCATACCAAATTATAATTTCAAACAGTTTGTTCCAGTAAAAGATGTCACAGTTTGGTGTGAGAACCAGCTTGGTGTAGTGGTTAGGAACGCGGACTCTAATCTGGGAGATCTATCTGATGCTGGGCGGCCAGTTTAGCTCTAGCCCAGATCTTCACTGGGCGTGGCAAGCCGTGGCTGGTTGGCTCAGACTGAGTCAGCTGAAACTAAATCCGGCGAAGACGGAGGTCCTGGGCCTGAGTCGGGTCGGTTCAGGGTTGGGGCTCCCTCTCCCGACCTTCGATGGGGCACCTTAGGTGCCAGCGCTGGAGGTTTGGAGTTTGGGAGTGCTCCTGGACTCCTCCTTAACTATGGAGGCCCAGGTGGCAGCCACCGCCAAGTCGGCCTTCTGCCATCTTCGGCTGGCCTGGCAGTTGGTCCCCTTCCTTGACCGCGATGACCTGGCCACAGTGATCCACGCAACGGTCACCTTGAGGTTAGACTACTGTAACGCTCTCTACATGGGGCTGCCTTTGTCGCAAATCTGGAAGCTGCAGCCAGGCTGTTGATGGGCCCCGCTAGGCGGGAGCATATCCACCCCGCATTGAAAGCGCTCCACTGGCTACCAATAGCGTACCAGATTCGCTTCAAAGTGCTGGTTCTTACCTTTAAAGCCCTATATGGCCAGGGTCCGACATACCTAAGGGACCGCCTTTCCCCATATGTTCCCCCAAGGGCACTACGGTCGGGGACGCAACATCTCCTGGTGATCCCAGGCCCCAAGGAGGCCAGGTTTGCTGCAACCAGGGCCAGGGCTTTTTCGGTGGAGGCTCCTACCTGGTGGAATGAGCTCCCGGAGGAGATCCGGGCCCTGCGGGACCTTGTTCAGTTCCGCAGGGCCTGAAAGACGGAGCTCTTCCGCCAGGCTTTTGAGTAGGAACCGCCACTACTGTACCACCACTACTGCATCATCATCATTGCACCATTGTTGCCGCACCACCACCAACTGGGTTAGGTAGCATCGGGGCGTATGATGACCCTGTGATAAGTTATTTATAATATCATGTGGAACCCATACCACTGAATTGAGACTAATATTCCCAGGGGGCCACAGATACCATCTTGTGATTGAAGATCTTTTTGTAACATCTAGAGCACTTTATGTTGTTGTAAATGTTGGTTTTATCTTGTTTTTATTGTTTGAACTACTGGCATATGTTGCCCTGTTTGTGAGCCGCCCTGAGCCCGCTTGCAGGGAGGGTGAGCTATAAATTTGAATAAATAAATAAATAAATAATAAACCAGGTTTGATTCCCCACTCCTCCACTCACAGCTGCTGGATGACCTTGGGCAAGCCGTAGTTCTGACAAGAGCCGTTCTTGAAAAAGAGCAGTTTCTGGCAAGAGCTCTCTCAGCCCTGCCTACCTCACAGGGTGTCTGTCGTGGGGAGGGGAAGGGAAAGGAGTTTGTAAGCCACTCTGAGACTCCTTTGGGTAGTGAAGGGTGGAGTATAAATCCAATCTCTTCTTCTTCTTTTACCTCACAGGGTGTCTGTGGTGGGGAGGGGAAGGGAAAGGAGTTTGTAAGCCGCTCTGAGACTCCCTTGGGTAGTGAAGGGCGGGGTATAAATACAATCTCTTCTTCTCTCAAGAGCAGCGTCTGTCAGAGCTCTCTCAGCCCCACCTGCCTCACAGGGTGTCTGTGGTGGGAAGGGGAAGGGAGAGGAGTTTGTGAGCCGCTCTGAGACTCCTTCGGGTAGTGAAAGGCGGGGTATAAATCCAATCTCTTCTTCTACATTGTTTGGCTTTTCGGCAAGGCTGAAGGACAAGAGTTATTCAGGAGAGCTTTGGGGGCAGCCTGAGCCTGGCCAAAGGTGTTTTCAGATTGGTTTTTAACAGGGCTTTTTGTGTGTGGAAAAAGCCCAGCAGGAACTCATTAGCATAATAGGCCGCACCCAACAGAAGAAACATAATAGCATATTAGGCCACACCCCTGACAGCACCACTCATTAGCACATTAGGCCACACCCCCATGTTACCAGAAGTGTGCTCATCCAGCCACACCCACCTTTTGCTTCTTATTCTGTTTACCTTGTTTGTTGTCAAAACCCAGGGCCTTTTTTTGTAGCAGGAACCCCTTTGCATGTTAGGCCACACACCCCTAATGTAGCCAATCCTAATGAGTTTCTGCTGTTGGGTGTGGCCTATTATGCTAATGAGTTCCTGCTGGGTGTGGCCAACTCGGGAGCCAGCCGGAACTCTGTTCCTGTGCGTTCCTGCCCAAAAATAGCCCTGGTTTTTAATATATATTTTTTGTATCTGTTGTTTAATGTTTGTTTTTATAATGTTGTGCCCCGCCTTAGATCCTAAGATTCAAGAGGCTTGATAAGTATCTTTAAAACAACTAAATGTCTCACTGCCGGTGGAAGGGAGGCGGGGACTTTTCTGTGGCATTGCTCTGTTCAAAATGGATGCCGTTCCCTGAACTGCTTTCTCTTCCAGATCGTGGGACCCTCCGATGGATCTAGTTACATTATAGATTATTACGGGGCAAGGCTAACCAGACTGAGTATTACGAATGAGACGTTCAGGAAACCACAGATATATCCATAAACTTGCCAGGAAGAAGCGCCTTGAATTTGGAATACGGTGATTTCAAGAGTTGATCAGTAACCAAGTATGGAAGGATGTGTTGGACAGAAGGATGAAGTCCACCCAGCAATGCTTTCATCTCTTCGTGCAGTCAGTGAACAAACACATTCAAGAAAAAGAGAGAGAGAAAGAGAGAAAGAAAGAAGTTCCTCAAGGAATCTGAAAGAGTCTTAGTTGAAAAAATGGACTGTGAACTGTTAATTCTTTATATAGGACTGCTTGCATGTGGTGAAGCTTGGGAGTTTTTTGTTAGAGCAGGGAAGCCTGCTCCCCTCCCAGTTTGTGAAAGGTGTACATACGGTTCTTTAATAAAGTATTGAGAAAAGCCCTTTTGCATGCATGCAGACATGTGCTTCCTCGCAGAATCACATTTTCAGTAATTAAACTGAAGATTCTTTGGAGGATGCTGGTGCTTTTATTATTATTATTATTATTATTTTTTACCGTGGCTCTTTTTAATGGTTCCAGAGTTTTTAAATTAATCTGGATGGGCTAGGGAAGGAATGTTATTTGCTGCTGTTTCACTTATTTGGGTTTTGTAAAAAGAAAATATTTTGGTGCAGTTGTTGTATTTATTTTGTTAATTGTTTGTTTATTTTCTTGATTTTTATCCCGCCCATCCGGCCTAGGCTGGCTCTGGGCGGCTTACAACAGAGTAAAAGTTCACAGAATACATAAAACATGATTCATTACATTAATACAATTTCTCATAAATAGTAATAGGAGCCAGTTTGGTGGTGTAGTTAAGTGCGCGGACTCTAATCTGGTTTGATTCCCCACTCCTCCACTTGCACCTGCTGATGTGACCTTGGGTCAGTCACAAGCTCTGGCACAGCTGTCCTCGAAAAAGAGCCATTTGTGTCAGAGTTCTCTCAGCCCCACCCACCTCACAGGGTGTCTGTTGTGGGGAAGGGGAAGGGAAAGAAGTTTGTAAGCCGCTCTGAGACTCCAAGTGAAGGGCGGAGTATAAATCCAATCTCTTCTTCTTCTTCTAAAGGTAAAGGTTCCCTTGCTCGAAAGCCAGTCCAGTCCGACTCTAGGGTTGCGGTGCTCATCTCCGTTTCCAAGCCGAAGAGGCAGCGCTGACCGAAGACGTTTCCGTGGTCACGTGGCCAGCATGACTAAATGCCGAGGCGTACAGAACGCTGTTCCCACCAAAGCAGTACCTATTTATCTACTTGCAATTTCTTGCTTTTGAACTGCTAGGTTGGCAGGAGCTGGGGCCAGAGACGGGTGCTCACTCCATCATGCGGCACTCGGGTCTCGAACTGCTGAACTACCGACCTTCCAGCCTGCAGTTCAGCGTCTTAACCACTTGAGCCACCGCAGCTCTATAAACAGTAATACAACAATATAAAAACAATGTTAAAATCAAACATGATGTTAAAGTGCTAGCAAATTCCAGTTTTTTGCTCTAATTCTGTTGGTCTGCTTCAGTTAGGGGGGACCCAGACGGGCAGTAGACGCCGGGATCAGCGGCTCAGGGCTTCCACTGCAGTTGTCACTTGTTGCTATTGTTAGCCACACCACTAGTAGTGGCAGTGATGGTGGTGGCGGCTCCAAAGGCCTGGTGGAAGAGCTCTCTGTTTAATCTCTATGAAAGGTAACAGTGTTCCGTGCGCCTTGGTGTTTAGTCATGCCGGCCACATGACCACGGAGACGTCTTTGGACAGCGCTGGCTCTTCGGCTTTCAAACAGAAATGAGCACCGCAACCCTAGAGTCGGACTCGACTGGCTTTCGAGCAAGGGAAACCTTTACCTTTTATGTCACCCTAAGTGCTTTATAATTAGAATGATGGGACATAGATCTTCTAAATAAAGATTTCTTCATATACTTAAGTAGAATGCAGAATCGGTAATCTACCAGGAAACACTCAAAGTTGTTTGAAGAAATTATTCTATGCGAAGACCATTCTGCATTATATAGAATCTGGTACGCCGACAACCACAGCTTGCTTTGCTTTCTCCTCCTCACATTTAGCATCCTTGGGGGAATCCATGTTTTAGATTTTACTCGGTCTTCCAAATAGGCGGTTCGAAGTCTGATAGAATCTTCTGTTCCGTAAGATGCTCTTGCCTTTTCCCACTCGACATCACCATTGTTGTTTTTCAATCTGAGAGCCAGTTTGGTGCAGTGGTTAAGTGCGCGGACTCTAATCTGGGAGAACTGGGTTTGATTCCCCACTCCTCCACTTGCACCTGCTGGATGACCTTGGGTCAGTCACAAGCTCTGGCACAGCTGTCCTTGAAAAAGAGCAGTTTCTGTCAAGAGCTCTCTCAGCCCCGCCCACCTCACAGGGTGCCTGTTCTGGGGAGGTGAAGGGAAAGGAGTTTGTAAGCCACTCTGAGACTCCAAGTGAAGGGCGGGGTATAAATCCACTCTCTTCTTCTTCTTCTCCTTCTTCTCCTTCTTCTCCTTCTTCTCCTTCTTCTCCTTCTTCTTCCTTCTTCTTCCTCCTTCCTTCTTCCTTCTTCTTCTTCCTTCTTCTTCCTCCTCCTCCTTCTTCCTCCTCCTCCTTCTTCCTCCTCCTCCTTCTTCCTCTTCCTTCTTCTTCCTCTTCCTTCTTCCTCTTCTTCTTCTTCCTCTTCTTCCTCTTCTTCTATCTCCCCTCTAGCTAGTGTTTTCGTTCCTCAGAAATATCATTCCACATGCCTATGATACAGAAGGCTTCGTGCGTATCTCGTACCTAGTCACAGCTGTAGGCATCAAGGGCAGTGCATACAACCTGTTCTGTAGGTGATGACGAGTAAATCCCTAACCACAGTTGCATTTGTGTTGGCTGACAGCTTTGGTCTCTTACTCCTGGTAGTCCAGTTACTGGTTTGCTTCGTGAGGTGTTCAGCCCTTCTGTGTATTAATCAATCTTCCATTTTGTTCTCCCTTGTTAAAGTCAGGGACTTAAGCCAAAGGTAAACATCCTTATTATCCTGCCTTTGGGTTAAAACAGATAAAAGGACGTTCTTCTTCACCCAAAGAGTGATTGACACATGGAACTCACTGCCACAGGAGGTGTCGACGGCTACAGGCATGGACGGCTTCAAGAGGGGATTAGATAAACATATGGAGCCGAGGTCCATCAGTGGCTATTAGCCACAAGGTATAGATAGGGACTCTCGGTCTGGGGCAAGGGAAGCTCTGTCTTCTTGGTGCTTGGGGGGGGCAACAGTGGGAGGGCTTTTAGTGTCCTGGCCCCACTGCTGGACCTCCTGGTGGCATCTGGTATTTTTGGCTACTGTGTGACACAGAGTGTTGGACTGGAGGGGCCACTGGCCTGATCCAACATTGGCTTCTCTTATGTTCTTATAGATGGAATACACTGTCTGGGGCAAGGCATGCTCTGTCTTCTTGGTGCTTGGGGGGGGCAACAGTGGGAGGGCTTCTAGTGTCCTGGCCCCACTGCTGGACCTCCTGAGGGCACCTGGTGTTTTTGGCCACTGTGTGACACAGAGTGTTGGACTGGATGGGCCATTGGCCTGATCCAACATTGGCTTCTCTTATGTTCTTCATTAGGCAACTGCAATAAATGCTTATCATTCTCTGCGTGTTTTACTTTGCATATTAAACTTCTGAAATAGGTTTTTTGCTGTATGCAAGGGCAGGTGACAAACATGCTGAATGGTGGGGGATCAGCATTCCCAGTTTCCCTTATGAGATACTAGGAGCAAAGCCTGTTTTATAAAAGCAATACAATGAGCTCTAGAAAGCCCCCCCCCCACAGCAGGTGTGCGGAGCTGGCGCCACCGTCTCCACATGGCCTCAGCTTGCTCCGAGTGAGCCGCGGCAAAGAGGCAAGTGGCATTACCCAGCAAGTATTCTGGCACCCCTCTGTCGTTCAGAGCGCCGCCACCTCCTCTCGCTCTCCGGCTGCACGTTTCCCGGGCATGCGTAGGGCGGCCGCTGGGCTTCTGTTGCACCGGCGAGGTGTGCTCAGGCCGGCCTGCTCACTCTGAGCCTGTGTCTCTCCAGGTCGAGCGGGGTCGGCTGCCGGCCGCCGCCTTGGAGAGACCATGCCAGGGGCAGGTGCGAGGAAAGCCGGGTGCTGCTGCCGCCAGCGCCACAAAGAGGCAAGCAGCGTGACCCGGCACATATTCTGGCGGTCCCCCATGGTTGAGTGGGCCGCCTCCACCTCTTGCTCTCTGGCCGCACGTTCCCGGGCGATGTTGGCCATCGGGCTTCTGCCGCTCCGGCGAGGCCTGCTTGGGCCAGGCTGCGTGTTTGAAGCCTTTGTCTCTCTGGGCGGAGCTGGGTCAGCTCCCGCCCACCATCTTGGAGAGACCTTGCGTGGCACTGAGGCCGAGACACTGGCCGCCCCTTCTGTGGGTAGGACTCCAGCAACGCAGCCACTGGATTGGCACACCATTGGAGTGACAGGTCAGCGATACAAATGTAAGGAGAGATGTGGACGATCTCAAATGACCTAATCCAGCAAAGAAAGTATTTTAACTTGTTAAAGCATGTCCATAGAATCAGAATGTTAGAGTTGGAAGGGACCTTGCAGGTCATCTAGTCCAACCCCCTGCACTCTGCAGGAGCATAGCCAAAAGATAGCCCTACAACATATCTGAAAGATGGTTGTCCAGCCTCCGCTTGAAAATGTCCAGCGAAGGAGCATCCACCACCATCTCTGGAGGCAGTCTGTTCCACTGCTCAACCACTCTCACCAGTTAGGAAGTTTCTCCTGATATTCAGCTGTTAACAACTCCCTTGTAATTTCCACCCATTAGATCTAGTCTTGCAGTCCAGAGCATGAGAGAATAGATCTGCTCCATCTTCTACATGACAGCCCTTCAGATATTGGAAGACTGCAATCATGTCTCCTCTAAGCCTTCTCTTTCCCAGGCTAAACAGACCCAACTCTTTCAGCCTTTCCTCCTAAGACTTGGATTCCAACCCTCTCACCATCCTGGTTGCCCTCTTCTGGGCATGCTTGAGCTTGTCAACATCCTTCCTAAAATGTGGTGCCCAAAACTGGACACAGGACTCCAGGTGAGGCCTGACCATAGCGGAATAGAGCAGAACAACCACCTCCCGTGATCTGGACACAATGCTTCTGTTAATGCATCCTAAGATTGCATTCGCTTTCTTATCAGTCACATCGCATTGCAGGCTCATGTTTAGCTTGTGATCAACCAGAACACCTAGATCACTTTTACATGTGCTGCTGTCAAGCCAAGTCCCTCCCATTCTATATCTGTGCCTTTGATTTTTTTTGTACCTAAGTGTAGGACTTTGCACTTCTCTCTATTGAAATTCATTTTATTTGTCTCCACCCACTTATTTTGTCTCCGCCCACTTTGCCTGACTTTGGCTGACTTGGTGTGATGTATTGAATTTTATTTCCCAAAGGCTAACTCTCTCTGATAGAATTTCTGTCTTTTTTCTAACCAAATCCAGCTCTTCTTCTTGGTTCTATTTTTATCAATCTGGTTTGGTTCAGCCAAACAGTTTGGGGATGATTTCAAAATGCAATAGGGTGTTTAACGTTCAATGTGGATTTCGGCAAAACCAAT